GTGCAAAAACGGTGTTTCCTGTTTGAAACGCTGCTCTTTGAAAGCCACAGGGCCTGCTCTCAGTCCCGCATGTCTGCTCTTTCTCACTCCTCTGTCTCGTGAGAGGATCCGAAGGGCTACAGTCCAAACTGCGCTGCCCGGTCCATTATGCTTATTGAATTACTGAACAGCTCATCAATCCTGAAACCTCAGCCAGCTGCCTCTTGACGGGCACCAGTGACAGCTGGAGAAGCGCGCTCTCGGGCTGTGAGAGAAGCAGCAGCTCCTGCGCTCAGTCCTGGGGTCTCGGTCCGGTCCCTCTCTGGCCCTCCGGCCTCACTCTGTCACTCTCCCTGTCCCCCGCCAAGCCTGCCGCTGCGGTTCTGGGTGAACGTGATCAAGAACCCGCAGTTCGTGTTCGACATCCACAAGAGCAGCATCACAGACGCCTGCCTCTCGGTGGTGGCCCAGACCTTCATGGACTCCTGCTCCACCTCCGAGCACCGGCTGGGCAAGGACTCCCCCTCCAACAAGCTGCTGTACGCCAAGGACATCCCCAACTACAAGACCTGGGTGGAGAGGTGAGCCGCGACTCCTTCCTGTGCCCGCCCTGAGGCCTCTCAAAACCCTGCTGGCCCCCGGCCGCTCGGCTGCTCTTCCCGGTGTGACGGTGTGCCAGGGCTCTGTGCGCCGAGCGACGTCCCTCCTCTCTGAGGTCTCGACAGGGCGGAGCTCTGATGCGGCACAGGGCCCAGCCTGTGGACTCAGGGCAGATATGTGCTGTCTTGGCAGCGGCGCCGTGTGTGCCCCGAGTCTGCGATCGATTGGGATCAAATCCCCTTCCGAGCTGCACTCGCCACACTGGCACAGGGCTGCCCCAGGGGTAGACCCCAGACTCCCAGTGCCCTGGGGTTTGAGCCATTCGGACTCGAGAGTGATGGCTGCAGAGGCGCAGCCATGTCTGTAGTGTGACAACATCGTGGTATAGAGACTGTTGTAATGCTGAGTACATAGGAGGGGAGAGGGGAGAGGGGAGAGGGCGACTCATGCAACACTACACTGTGAGTTTACCTTTTATAAGGCGGCAGGTGGCTCATCACTGCTCTGACCCCGCATGTCCCTGTGGCACAGGTATTACCGGGACATTGCCAAGATGCCCAGCATCAGCGACCAGGACATGGACGCCTACCTGGTGGAGCAGTCCCGCCTCCACGCCAACGAGTTCAACACGCTGAGCGCGCTGAGCGAACTTTACTTCTACATTAACAAGTACAAGGAAGAGGTGAGTGCTGGCCAGATCCGACAACGGAAAAGTCTGTTTCTCCTTAGCTGTGCAGCTGGCCAGCTGGATTCATGCAGAATTAGACCCTGTGGCCATCCCTGTACTCGGGGTTCGCAAGAGAGAAAAGCTCTTAATTGCAGGTTTGTGGGTTTCCTTTCTGGCTCTGCCTCTCAGTGATCCTCTGCCTGTCCTCTGTCCGCAGATCCTGACCGCGCTGGACAGAGATGGGTACTGCCGCAAACACAAACTGCGACACAAACTGGAGCAGGCCATCAGCCTGATGTCTGGGAGCAGCTGAGCCTGAGGCTGGAGGGGAGCAGCAGGAGGAGGCGGGGGCAGGGGAGG